ACATGCAGGTTGTAGGGATTGATGAGTGGGGCTACATAAGCTACTGTTGCCGATTTTTAACCCGAAATATATATGCATCTTACGAAGTCTGCAGATTGGAGACATGGGGACGTTAATAGTAGCTATTGTCATCAAGTAGAGCAACTAATGAGCATACAGCCTAGGCAATTATTTGCCAGTGAAAGTTTAAGGACAAACACAAATTCATAGTTTAAGCAAGTGAAATGCAGGTTGCTAAAATAACCGTCAAAAGCACGTGCAGGATAGAAACGAAAGGTGGCACGGTACAAGTGGGGAGATTTGAAGCCAAAATAAAGAGCGGACTGTGTCCTGACGAAAGACTAACAGCAGTCGACAGTTTGGCCGTCGTAATCGACGAGGACCTCAACTATACAAGGAGATCACTTGAACTTGCTCCGTTTAGGCTGGCCATACATGCACTAATCAGTCCATACTGAAAGACCAGACTGCACTTATACGAACCATACGATGCAAGAGAGCAAAATAAAATAGAATCACAGTTAGTAGAAGGCATAAGAGGTACCGGAGTTTGAAATGGTGTACAGGCATTGATGACTACACCCGAATATCATTTCCCTAAAACAAGACTTCTAGTCCCTCAGAGCGATCTCAACTCTGCGGAAACCCGTTCTGGACAACAGAGTTGGAATCAGTGTAGACAATTGAACTGCAGCATCACCTAGTAAACCTAGTTCTTCTCCACTTTGGGACAACATAGCCCAGCCGAAACTATAGCTTTTGGGCATGCGTTTTAAGACCACATGTGGCCTAACGATGTAGAAAACGGCTGAGGTAGGTGGTGGCGACAGAGTAAATTGTGTGTAAAAATCGAAGGCAAATACGCCTGGGGCGACGGAAACTTACAGACTGCTGGAGCAAACGGAAGCCGTAGAAAACTCCTCCCTGCTACGCATTGACGCCACGGGTGACATGGTGTGGGGGTTTTCGTGGGTGTCGTAGAACTCCTCACTCTCCTCATCCGAGGAAGAGTAGGAAACCGCGGGGATCACAGAGGATGCAGGTGTCGCGACCGGCTTCGGTGTGGTAACAGCCAGCGCCTCGGAGATCAACTTACCAACCACCTCCCGAGCACCCGATTTGATGTCTGCTAGAGAGTGGTGAACTGTTGAGGAGAGAGTAGACTGCGCCCCAGACGGCCCAGAGGAGGAGACGACACCGGTACCAGCAGTCGCGGTATGCTCATTTGTAACAGTACTGGTGGAACTGCCAAACGGGTCTGGCACTGGTGGTGCTAGGTCTGTTCCGACTGATACAACTAACGAAAACAGAAAAATAAATAACAAAAATCGGTGTTCATCGGCAAACAAACAAGGTCGGTTTAAGGCGGAAATGTCAGTAATAGTGTAACGAAAAAGGAACTAGATAGTTCCACTCAAGCGCCCAAAACAAATACATTGCGAGTCCCCCCTTC